GTTAAGCTTCGTGTTGATCCTAAGTTGAATGTGATTAACTCTCATGATTTCCCAATTGTTTCAATCTCCCAAGTTATTTTGACAAATAATTTGATCACTTCTAACGGGAAAAAAGGTGTTACAAGTGAGAGTCGATGGGCCAATCGGGTGTAAGAAGAGGATGAACATGCCACACCTCATAGAAAATTGAGCCCTGAAGCACCAATTTGTGTGCCTAAGGGTAGTGGCATTGTCCGTGACTAGGGGTATAAAAAATGAGCCCAAGTATAGGTAACCCATCCAATGATCTGCCCAATATTTTATGGGTCAGACTCAAGATAATTTGAATTGAATTCAAATTCAACCCATTTTAAAATAATCTTCAATTGAGCCCAACTTAATCTCCAATTTTAACTCATTTTAAGACTCTTTATTTGCATTTGTTAAGATATTGTCGAAGAGTATTTCAACTATTATATTGTGTGTAAGATAATAGTTATATATTGTAGGTAAGTGTGTAGGATAATAGTCAAATATTGTATCTATTGTAGGTAAAATACATGCTTTGATTAGATATGCTCTTGACCTTTTGTGTCTAGCTTTGTGTATTTATTCTAGGTGTAGTCTATCATTTTAAAGTATGAAGTGAAATACACTTGCATCATTATCAACATTAATGTAATATATGTTCCTATATCGAATGTATGAGTTATAAGAGGTAAAGAGGATAGACCCTCGACTCCTTTCCTTCACTTCTCACGAATTTTGAATTATTTTTATCTAATGAAAAGGGACTGTATAAAAATATTAAAACTTTGAAATAATTAAGTAGTACTATCAATTTATGTGAATAATCACTATAATTAACACCATATATATGTTGCGTTTCTTCTGATTTATTAAAGGTAGGTTTTATTAACTCATTTTGCACAAAAGTAGACTTTTGTCAACTTTGAAGGACACTAACTTTCTTTTCAAGGGTTTACAAGTTGTTATACTCATTTGTCAAATTCGCATTAGAAGTAGAAATATTCAAAATGTTAAACTTTGAATGATATAAGTTCATTAATCAATTTCAACTTTTTGTAAAAGTTTTTCCCCTTTTCTCAAGATATATTATTATTATTATTATTAAGAGAAAGGAAAGTATATTTTATCCTTGCAGATCAATGTCCTTGAGTTAGACAGAACAAGAACAGTAGTGCAAGACATAGCAGGACAGGACTACAAAGTACAAACTACAAAGAGAACCAAAGTTTTACTTCATACTAGTCATCTATGTCAATTGTCAAAGAAAATTGTTAGATTGAAAAAAAAAATTACACGGGCAGTGGAGTTTATCTCATTAAGCGTTCACACATCTGCATGTAATAGACAAGAGTATTTTATGAATCACGAGCGAAGGCAAATGATTGACATGACTGCAGGAAATGACTTCATTCCAAAAGCACTTAAACCTCCTGTTATCCAATTACTCAGTTGCCAAAAGTAGCCATTTTAATTCATTTGGAAACTGGTTGGTGTTATTTAATTCAGAAACTGCAGGAAATGACTTCATGCCAAAAGCACTTAAACATCTTTCTTTGATGAAATGTATCATTGATCTCAACCATACACATTCTCTACTTGCTTCGTGAATAGCTATTATCTCAACATGAATTGAAGAAGTAGCGACAATGGACTACTGCTTCATAGATCGCCATGATATAGCAGTATCTTCGTATGTGAACAGATAACCTGTTTGAGATTGAGTTTTTTGTGAGTCAGATAGATAACCTGCATCTACATGACCAACAAAATTTGCACTATCTTTGTTAGTATAAAGCAAACTCATATCACTAGTCTCCTTTAGATATTGCAATATATGTCTAACTCCATTCTAGTGTCTTCGTGTAGGAAAAAAACTATATCTTGCTAACAAATTAATAGAAAATATTATGACATGTCTCGTAGCATTAGCAAGATACATAAGTGCACCAATTGCACTAAGATATGGTACTTCAGGATCAAGAGGTTCCTCATTCTCTTCTTGAGGTCGAAATGGATCTTTACTCACTTCAAGTGATCGAACAACCATTGGAGTACAAAATGGATGTGCCTTGTCCATGTAAAATTGTTTCAAAATTTTCTCAGTATTAGCTGATCAAGACAAAATTTTGTCTTTCCAAGATCTTTCATCTCAAATTCTCTCTTTAGATATTTAATTACCTTTTGGATCTCTTCTGCAATTCCAATAAGATTAATGCTATGAACATAAACAACAAGAATAACAAATTCTGAAATTGTTTTCTTAATAAAAATACAAGGACAAATGACATCATTTATATAACCTTCGTTTATCAAGTACTCACTGAGGTGATTATACCACGTGCACCCTGATTATTTTAAATCATATAACGACTTTGGTCTGATCGAACACATTTTACGAGATTTTGAAATATATGTTTCATGCATTTTAAATCCTTTTGGAATTTTCATATAAATTTCATTATCAAGTGAACCGTAAAGAAAAATTGTAACCACATCCATCAGATGTATTTCAAGATTCTCATGTACAACTAAACTGATGAGATATCGAAAAATTATCGCATCCATAATCAGTGAATATGTTTCTTCATGTTCGACACCGAGTCTTTGAGAAAATTCTTGTACAACAAGGTGTGCCTTGTATCTTACAATTCCATTTCTGTCATTTCTTTTTCGTACAAAGACATATTTATAGCCAACTGACTATACATCATCGGGCATTTGAACTCCTGGTCCAAAAATCTCACGTTTAGCAAGTGAGTTCAATTCCGATTGAATTGTCTCTTGCCATTTTGACCAATCGCATCTTCGTCGACATTCTTCAACAGACAAAGGTTTAAGATCATCATTGTCTTGCATAATATTAAGTGCAATGTTATATGCAAAAACATTATCCACTATAATTTTCTATTGATTCAACTTTATCCCATTATCATAAGAATTTTGTGATAGTTCTTCATTCACTTGAAACTCGAGGTCATTAATTTCTTCAATCAGATCTTGAACCTCTTCGTGAGATCCTTATGGTGTCATTTTTCATACTATTTTTTCTAGGATTTTTATCATTTGAACTCAATGGTCTTCCACGCTTCAGGCGTGTATGAGATTCAAAAGCTATGACAATAGTAGATGGTCTTGTTGGAACATCAATTATGTGACATAGTTATCCTTTTTAAATCAGTAAATGCGTTTGGCATTTGATTTGCTATATTCTGCAAATAGATGATCTTTTGGACCTCATGTTCACACATAGAGAAACGTGGATCAAAATGAGAAAATGATGAACTTTCCATGCAATTTCTCTTTTAAATTCATGTTTCCTCCCCTTAATTGCGAAAAGTTTGTTTCATCAAATCGGCAATCTGCTAATCTTGCAATGAATAAATCTCTCATCAATGGTCCAAGGTAGCGAATTATGAAGGGGTAATTAAACCCAACATATATGTCTAACCTTCTTTGGGGGCAATCTTAGTGCATTGTGGTGGTGCTACTAACACATATAAAGCACATCCAAAAATTCGTCTATGAGCAATATTTGATTCATTACCAAACACCAATTGTGACGGAGAGTATTTATTATAATGAGACGGTCTGAGACGAACAAGTGATGCTGCATGTAAAATAATGTGGCTCGAAACAATAGTGGGCAACCTTGTTTTCATAAGTAGTGGTATTGCTATGGTTTCTATATAATGATATAGGATTTTTTTATTAATGGGGTAATCGATAAACCAATGATAGTTGAGGACAAATCTTGTAGGTTCATTATGTTTAGCTGTTGAGATTGTGTAAATAATGCAAAATCAGCTGGTTCCTTTCGTAAGAAACAATCCCTACGCCAATGGTTAGAAAGATTAATTGGAGAATATTAGTAGCTCATTTGGTTGGCTACCTGAATTTTTACCTTGTTGATAAGAGTTTGGTTTCATATCTTGTATCCCTTCCCCGACCTCCAATTTTATTTTATTTTAAACTGAAAAAGTGCTTGAAAAATTAATCAGCATGCACAAGAAATTATTTAGTGAAATGATTTTATAGCACTTTACTTGAAAACTATGTAGTCCAAAAGAATTAAAAACAATATAGAAAATAAGAAGAATGAGAATAGAAGAGCTCAATCTCAAAATATATAAAATGGAATATCCTTGGCAATATCACGCTCAATCAGGATTATTGTATAAGAAATTCTAGCAACTTTTATTTGTATATTCATCAACATATAATGACACTGATACGGCATAAATGTTCATCGTCTCATTTATACTAGATTCATTACTTTCTAATTCACACAATTCTAGCACTTCATAAGAGTCAAAGAAAATCTCCATTTGTCTTCATCAAAGATTTAACAGTCAAATCTTGGCCTTCGGAGTGATTCTAATTATCTGATCAAATACATAATCTAACATAACCATATGAATCTATACACACCCATATTGCTATCTTCTATCCCAAGCCCAAGAAGTCAACACAAAAATCAACCTTGTGCCCGTAAGGTCAAAATAGTAAATTGACACAAAAATTAGTTTATCCACAATGTCAGGGGCTTATGCCCAAGAAATTGTGTCACCCATCCCCACAAAGTCATAAAAGGAATAATGAAGCTACGAAATGGTTCAAAAGGGAAAAAGTAAGATGGAAACACAAAACGACCATGAGAGTCAGTAGAGATGTTTCACACAGTTAAGATGAAAGGGAAGCATATTTACCTTGATAGTATAGTTATCCATTTAAATGTGTACAAGCATATTTGTAGCAATAAACTTTCAAAGTGTACAAATTTTTATATTCATTTCTCAAATCCGCATTAGAAGGTAGAAATATTCCAAATGTTTGAATGAACTTGTATAAAGATGATATCTCAACTTAAGATCTCCTTCACCAAGTTATATATGTCGATAACATAGCCAGGGGACAGGACTACAAATTGAAAATTGGGATTCGACAGAACTACAAAGAGAACATAAATTTTGCTTCATACTTCACATGATCTATGTCAAAGAAATATATCATCTGAAGGAAATGACATTGTCAGATTGAAAAATGATACAAGGGCAGTAGAGTTTATCTCATTTCAAGTTCCCACACCTACTGCATGTAATAGACAAGAGCATTTAAGTATTTTGCCTAGTTTTGTTTCCTATACGAATCCCACTGAATATATCGTTATGTTGGTAGCTAAACACAGACATTTACAGAGATTATTTTCAACTTCTCATGGTTATGCCTATAATAGTGATTCACGACTAGCAAAATCAGGAGACAGGGCATTTCCATTTACAAGAACTTGTTTCAGAAGATTAACTCGCACAGACTTGAATTGATAGTGCTGCAGTAAAAATAACAATACATTAGTGAGGAGTGACAAAATTTGGCTGGCAGATTATCGCAAAACACACGAGGAAGGCAAGTGATTATTATTATTCCAACACTTAAACCTCCGATAATCAACAAATTTGCAAAAGGGCTTCAATAGTGTGACCTGATCTCCTTTTTTAATCTGTCAAGAAGAGTAGTTCGTTAAGTAATGGTGTGAAAATCTAATGGGCGGAGTTGGATCGGAAATGCTTACTGAAACTAAATATCAGTAAATTACTCTGTTAATGAGCTGATGTAAAACAGTATTGTCATGACTCATAGTTCCTGTGTCATTTTCACTTCTTTTCTTTTTTGTTTCTTTTTGTCATCAAATTTTCATAGAGCATGTGTTTCCTAAGAGAAGCTTCATTTATGTTATTTTCATCTTCATATTCCATTTTAGTAGGAATATGGTAGGCTATATGTCACCATGAAAATCTGAAGTAGGATAAATATTCAAAGATATGACATACATAATAATTTGGTTGGTGGGGCTTACACAAACCAAAATCAGATTTGAATGAGATTATCACCATTACAAAGAGATGTTCAGGCTCACTTATGGATTATTTAAGCCACAAATGAAATCTTTTTTCTTGAAGTATGGACGAATGAGAAAATCAAAACAAAAATAGTGTTCCATAGTATGATATAGGAAACAAACTACTCCAATTTACAGAAATTTTTTGAAATCCCAACTCACTTTACTATTTCTCTCTTTTTTTATCTTTAGTGTTTGATTACGTATAAAAGAAGTGAGGTGCCTCCCCTTCATGTAATTTTTCATCTAGGAAGTGATAAAAGGTAGGAAAGATCCTTCGCTTATTTTTTAGGCATGTCGTGCTACAGCAGTTTAGCAGCAAACTAATGGGTCAATGTCTGAAATTTATTTGTTGATTTCTTATCTCGGTATCTCCAAAATACTCTACTTCACTAGACCTCTTTTTTCTCAGAATTAAGAAACATTAAAATAGCATAAAGTAGTGCTTACTGCTTCCTTCTGTATGCCGAACACTGTAAGTACAAAACTTTTCTCATCAGAGTCACAGATCACATAGTATCTGTAGAATAAGATTACACATTGAGAAATAAGTATATAATCATTAAGTAGGGCTGCACAGATAAGTAGCTTTCACATTTAAGGAAATGCTGGAAATGATCAGAGTAGTAAATGATTAACTCATTTGGGTTCCTCCAAGATGAAGTAACTTACGATGGAGCTTTATACTCATATTTAACTAAGCACCGTACTGCTCCTATGACTGCAATCCCTTCGTTAAGCCCTTCAGTTAAGAGATCCATGGTAGCTCTGGTGTATGAAGGATCCACTGCCAGAAAGCACATTACCTCAACTAAAGGATAAGTAACTAAATCATATACCTCATTATTTACAGTAAAATATCTAAGGAGAATGTAAAGCCTTACGATCAATAGTAGCAAGTGATTGGATCAGGGAAGACAAGCTGGTTTCCATACTCTTTCCCTTACTCTTGTCATTAAGCTTACCCTGAAAAGCAGGATCATATTATTCAAATGCATCCTTCACAATCTCATTCCTAATGTCTTAACAGCTTCAAAAGAAGATAACATTTAACAACTGAGAATCTTAAGGCATTATTTTTTAAATACTATATCATGACTTTACTGTTTCTTGAAAAAATTCAAGAAATGCAAAAAGAAAAAAAGAAACAACTAAAATATCAACCCCCCCCCCCCCCCCCCCCAGGCATTGTTCAGCCAACATATGGCTATGCTCCTACTAACTTAACTCATTGAACTATTTAAGAACACAAGAAACGATCAGTACCTCATCTCCTTTTCTTCTATATACATCTTATGCTTAATGCTTCAACAGTTGGTGCAAATGGATCCCTTTATTGTGCATGATTTCAAGGATTGATTTTTTTGTGGGGATAAGTTTTCCTTTTCTCTTTATTAAAATTATTTTCATTCAGCAAGTGAAAAGGATTCAGAAAAAATTTCGCCAAGTAGGAGAAACTTTACCAAGCTTTCTGGGGCAACCATAGTGAAGTTACAAATAGTATTACTAACTTAACACCCAACTTGATATTTCTATCCAAACAACTCTTAATTCCACATAATCTTAGCTGCCTATTGCAGTTTCCTAGCCTCTACTTGTTTGGTAATATTCCCAAAATTAATCAAGCAACTGCGCCTCAAACCTACAAATTAAGTCAATTTTAGAAATCATAGAAAAGCATGACTATATTTAGGTGTTTTTCCTGTCATATCATAAAACCAAATTTCATGTTATATCTTCCCCCTAGATCAGAACTTTGTAGATATTGACAGGTTATCTCGGAAGCCATCTTAAAGGACTACCTCATCGTACATTAACTTTATAGCAGGAAGCAGAAAGCTTTCCTTGAATATTAGTGACAGGTATGTGTGAACAATTCAAAGAACTCCACTGTGCCACGTTGGGAGTTGGACAGGTCAAATGTGCAATTGCAAGGAGTGCGAATCCTTGAATACCTCTTGCAAGGAGTGCGACTCCTTGTCCTGCACTTTGTATATATGCTGTAAACAATGCACCTTTGATCATACGCACTTCCTTTCTTAAAGCTTTAAATCACTTATATATGGATGTTTACTATAAAATAACCACAATCAACTAATCTTACCTGAAGTAATCCTTCTAATTTGTCAAGAAGCTGGAGCATCAGTGTCAATTGATGTAAAGCATCACTAGCAGGATTCTTTGATGCAACATCTGAAAATCCAATTAGGAACCCCTTGTAGTTCTCCAGATATCTATTCACCTGAGAAAACAAATATCAAATTTGCCCAACATGGCATTGAATTTTAGAAAAGGGGAAAGTGAAGACTATATTTAAGATATCATGATATATGCAAACATAAAATTTGAAGATGATTAAAAGTGAGCTTTTTTAGAAACTATTGGTTCTTTCTTCACCAAGCATTTAACTTTCTAGCTTGGAAAAAGCTAGACAAGAATAATCACAGAAAAATCTTTCACATAGGCAGCAGATATTGCTGAAGCCAATTCTTTTAAATCAGACTGTTTTTCTAATTCCAAGTTGTACTTTCCTATATAGACACATGTTCTTCTACATAGATTATTTCGTACCAAACTTAATTCAACATGTTACTGATCCCTGCAGAATGCTTCTATTTCTAATTAATGACATTTTCCTTTAGTTTACCAACTTTTGTCCTATCTGTAAAGTTTTCAATTTCTTCTTCTTCTGAGAGAGCCAAGCTTATTAAGAGACATTCTCTGCAACCTTTAAGATGATGAAAGAAGGTCTATCTGTGATCCACACAATAAGCTAGTGTAAAAATGAAAAATAATATTAGGAAAACCATAGAGTTGCACACTTGATACATGGTCTCTTGTCTTTGTTTCTTTTTATTTATTTTTAGTTTTTCTAACTCTTGTTTCTTTAATAAACCATCATAAAAATATGAGGTGGTAATTAGCAACAATTGAGAACCTTGTGTTTTGAAAGATCCTAAATATGATACAACAGTTCATAAGTGAAAATGGGAATTTTTTTTTCAACAACTTACCAAGCCACAATCATAATGAAGAAAGGGGTGTGACTTCACTGCATCAATTTCCAGCTGAAATAGGATAGAAAATCAGAAGAAACTTCCAAGTATCTAAAATAACCAGGCTTGCAGGGAGCTAATACTGTACACATATATTTCATGTTAAAATATAGGGAAATAAATATACAGAGACAAGATTGTAAGAACTACTTACAGCTTTTTTGTATGCCTCTAATGCCAGTTGAAGATTACTGTGATCCCATCCTCCCGTCAGAAGAAAGGAAGTGAAATATGCACATCCTAAGATATCTACCAACCAAATGAAGCTCAGTGAAGGACTTGAAAATTGGATTTGTCAAAATGTTTATTATAGCTATAACTGTGTGCAGATACTAGTTAAAGATCAAACTACACTAAGAATGAGAGAAGTACAATATAGTAAAGGATTCTTGGATGTTTTCATAAGTACAACATACACCTTATAAAATTCCACGTACTGCGCATATGCTGCTTCATGGCTCCATGAACCAAAGTATGCAATTTCTGCACCTTAATCTGTCTTTAATGTAATCGTATGCTACTTCTTAACTATAGCTTTACAATATGTGAAGAGTGAATTCAATCATTGACGAACACCGAGTAAACATTTAGTAAATTGGCAAAGCTGAGAGTGCTAAAACACAGAATGTTTATGACACAATATCAGAGAATCTCAGAGGTAAGGGATTAAAGCAGTTCCTCTCTTAACTAGATTCTATTGGCAGTCTTACATAAACAAACTCCATCCATATCATCCAGAAGGAGTGTTCTTTGGGCATATTTAATGCATTTGTCAATCTGCTTTGCTGGATTTTCAGAAACTATGAAATAGATATACAATCAGATGATCAGATCAGCAGCAGCTACTTAAGAAACAAAGTAAATAAGAGACTGGAGAAATGTATTATACATATACTTTGATTTAGTAAATGAAGATTCTAAAGTGAAAATGGAAGAAATCATATTTAATTAAAAATCAGAATCCCAGACTGCCAAAACTCCTGAGCACATCGTTGCTTTCTATGTCAGATTTCAACAGGAGTTACACTTAATGCGTGTGCATCTAGTTCAGATTTGCACTAGTTGAAGGGCTGAAGCCAAGTTATAGTATCTATAAAGTATCTAATTAAGGATAGAACTAGAACAAAACAGATGTAGAGCAAAATTTAATGGGGAAAATACACTACTAATTTTATAATCACCCAAGCCAGAGTCTAAAGACAAAACAAACGATGTGAACTAGATGGAAACTATAGTTCTTGACTTATTGCAATGTAAGCAAATAACCTTTGAAGAGTATATATAAAGAAAATGCTTGAGATTCCCCTTGGAACAAAGCAAATTAACAGAAGAATTACATTCACTTTGTGCAAGCATCAGTTCAAGGTCTGCAAGTCGACGTAAAACTATGCTATTTCCTTTATCCTAAATCAAATAAAAGATGAAGAATCCATTAAATGAAGGGAGCATTTGAAGTTTAGAGAACGGAAAACTTAAGAACTGAGAAGGCAGCGAAATATAACCATGTTAAGGACAAACTTATAGCATTTTTTAGCTCTTTTGTAATCCCCTTTCTTGGAAACGCAGAGGCCGAGGCAATCCCAAGCTTCCAGCTAAAACGGATTCAATTGAGTCTGGTAGATAAAATTAACAGTAAGAAGTAAACCAAACACAAATTCAAATATGTAATTCTTTTTTCACTTACAGCTTTCAGTAGATGACACTCTGCTTCCTCATTATAAACATCAGGAATTGCATTATACAGCCTTCCTTTTAGACATTCATATTGTGATTGCCTCTTCTCTGCATGAATTCGTACCACTTAAACGAAATTGAATTGAATGCATTTGTTTCGTTCTTCTGGATAAATTATACCTTGAGGAACTGATTCGAGGGCTTGGATGCACCGATCGATTTGATACTCCATGTCAGAGATTTTCTCTTGTATACTTGACGGGAAATGCTGTTCGCTAAAATTTTCGAGCCATTTTAGCCACATTTGAAATCCAATCCTCGTAGAATTCTTTTAGATTAGCGGAGACTTGTCCTTTCTCCCTAGAAACTTCTTCTCATCTTCAATGGTGGATTGGATTGTTTTAGATGAGTAGAAACTTCTTCAATGGGGGAGTGGAGACTTGTCCTTTCTCCCTAGAAACTTCTTCTCATCTTCAATGGTGGATTTTAGAAGGCTGCTGAAGCTCAACTGTAAAGTTTGTTCCTGCAGAGTTTGTTCAAGTCTGTAAAGTTATGACTGGAAAATTCTCTTTTTTAGTATTCTGATGTATCACACTTTCCCTTCCCCTCTTGAGAAAATAGAGCGGGAGGTGACAAAAAGGTTTTTTCCAATTAAAATATGTGATAATTTAATCAAGTCTAAATCAAATCTTCTTCTAATTAGGAGATTAAGTTTAATAAAATGGGTGTCAAATATAATTTTTTAATTTTTTTTTTATCTTTCGTAAAATACAAAAATATCCCAATCTCCACTAGTGTACCACAGCTGACCCTCTCGAATCAAAATATCCGTCTCTTCACTTCAATTTTTTCATGTTTTCTCAAAAACTTCTCCTTCATCTTCGTTTTTCTGCTTTGCTCTTTTTCTTCTTCGTGTCCTACTCACGCCATCATCGTTACTGTGAACAGGGGAAAAAAGAAAATTTTTTAAGCAGTTAGGAGTTTGAGTTTTCTTTACAGTTAGAATGTGATGGTTTAAAAAGAAGAAGAAAACATGGATCTTACATATCTTATTGTTTTATGTCCTAATAAACATTGTATTTGTTGTTATGGTGGTATGACATTGATGAAAATCTGAAGATATCATCTGAAATAAATGATGTATGAATGAAATTGGAGAGTAAATATGGATTTTTAAGATATGATGTGTTATTATCATTCATTTAAAAAAAGTCTCTTGACTTATATTCTATATTTACACTCTTAAAAGTCCCTTTTAATTCACTTTCCCTAGTGACAACACAAGAGAAGAGTTAATATCTTAGATGCTCACTCAACTTTCAATAGTTCTATGTCATGTTGTATTTCTATAGATAATAATAAGGTATATATCTAATTGAGTTTCCTCCTGTCACGCCCCGAGCCTACACCTTGGGCAGGACCGGCACCCGAAGACCATTGCTGGCCCCAGGCGAACCCTTGGCCTGGCTTTCTTAACTCAGTGGAAACTTAACTCAACAGCACAACTCAATGCAATGAAAGGTTATAAAACAACCAACTGATGCATAACATGCCAAAAGGCAGCTCGAGTCTCAAAATAGAATATTTACATAAATACATAGATGAGAGACTCAATACTAACTGACTGACTGTCTATGAAGCCTCTATAAATACTGAGATGGATGTTGGGACAGACCCCACAACATCCTGATAACGCAAAAACTAAAAGAAACAAAATATCTGAGTCCTCCGGAAAGCAAGGAGGCTCACCACTGACTCTGGAGTGCTCA